AAAGCGAAACGAGAAACAACAAGCCTTCACATCAGGACTTTCAAACCTCGGTCACCAACGATCTTCAACAAGGATGGCCTACTTTCACATGCGAACCCTCCAAGGCAAATCAAAATTTTGTCCGACTCCCCGAATGAACCGTTTGGGGGAGCACTAAAACACACTGAAGGTTACAACAGGGGAAGAATTAAAGGTTGGTTGCTCCAGGGTTTCTCCGCGTGGCTTATGACGTGCAGCCGTGTTACCACACCGGCGCAACCACTCATCTCCCCTTCCACCAAGGTTCTCAAGGTTCTAGTCCCGACGCCAAATTTGCTTCACACCATCGCGAGAAACTCCTGAACGCGTCTGGTGTTCTCTCTCATCTGACGGCCGCTCCTGAGATCATCATCACGATGCGACATGTCAAACCCAAGTTTGCCAAGGTCTCAACGGGTGTGGTAACACCAACATTCCCACGATAATTTGAGTAAAGTAGGTAACTTGGTCGGCTACCCCTTTTGTGTGCATGCATTGGTGAAACATATGGAAAGCATATGGACAGCAAAAAAACTCAACTATCAAGTTGAGAACCGACCAAAGCCCGGTTTATGGCCAGGATTGTATGTTCTATCAGTCTGACTACGCTGATGGAAGTCTTTGAAGATACGGGCATTACTACGAAATGGATGCATCAACAATATCGCACACGAAGTAGTATCAACGGACAAAAACGATTATACATCAAGAAACACTGATCTAAACTTGGTTTGCGGGATTAGACACGTTACACCGGTATCACCTAATTTTACTCGAGCGACACCAAACATGCATCTCAACGGTGGTTGAAGATCGACTACTGCACCCACAGTGCAAAACGAAACGCCGGTTCCGACCCCGACTGACTGATGCGGAAGGACGTCCGGCAGAGACCGGGCCCCGGAGGCGGAGATGACCCACATCGGCGCTAACATGCATAAGCGGGGTCGGCGCCGGGTGGGTCCTTGGTCGGGTTAGGTACCGTCTTTGGCCCGGACCGAACTCCAGACGAACTTAAAATATCGGACATCTGGGGGCCACTGCCCATTGCCGGCATGGAGGCCCAAACAATCGCATCAAGAAATACCCTCAATCCCAAAAGCACTGGCTGGGAGCCATCGAATTTCCATGCATCTCAATTCCCATCAATTTAACCTGACATCAAATCGGACTTGTTAGCACGAACCAACCAATCACCGCTTGTCGCTTGGCTAACAACAGTAACAAACGCCGGGTTTAAACGCTGTCGGTAATTACATTTGCCATATTAAGCGCTGGACTACCGCAAAATCTCACTCATAACGGAGATGCTCTTTTGGGGAAGGCCACACCTTATGCGGGTGTTTTGAGCTTGCTCTTAGCTACATATGCAGCATCTTGCCAATTGAATTGGCTCATAATCCGGGTACGATCCACAAAGCATCTCCGTTATGAGTGAGATTTTGCGGTAGCATTCTTACAGCTCTTTACCGCGCCGCTGACGCCGCTCGCTTGCTCACAACCGCGCGTTTGTTGTTTGCGTCTACGCTACTTACTTACTGTACTCTATGTACGGCGCAAAGCGTTGGGACCGGGGTAGTCTGGAATGTAGAAAACGTGGAAGGAGAAGGATCTTGATATGCGAGTTTGGTCTTACGGTTGAGGATCCTTCTTCGAGGGACGTTGTGGAACCAAGTTGGAAGTTGAAGAAGGTTGGAAGGGGGAAGGTTGGAAGTTCGATCCGATCCTTGCTCGGTTTACTGTGTAGTTGACAGGTTGGCGATGGCGATGGCGATGCATGAAATGCAAGTTTGTCAGGGAGGTTGGTACAACTCGCTTGGTAGGGCTGAGGGCGATCCAAATTATTAATTTTTTTTAATTTTTTTTAATTTTTTTATTTTTTACCCCGGTCTGTGAGAAGAGGATGGCAGTTGGGTTTGGCAATGCCTGAACCAACAACTTGGTTGCGAAATCCTTCCAAGACCAGGCCGGCACCACATCGATGGATATAGTAATCGATCTCGGAGATACTGCAGAGAGGTTGCGGACTGTAGACGTCGCAGACGTTTACCAAAACCTGAGTTGCAGTCAGGGTCGAATGCTCTAAATATGGTAAGCCAATTTCCTTTCTCACCTCTCATCTCACCCTCGGGCTCAGGTTGGGACGGGATGTCATCACCGACCGTTGGGACCAGTGTTTAGGTCTACGGTTGGAGTGGGCTAACAATCGGTAGACTATTGCGGGAACATCAGGACCAGAAATAGCAGAGCGAGGAGGAAATCAGATGTATCCTGTGAGTGCAGTGAGTACAGTACGGGAGTTAAGAACTCGGATGCAGCGCAGCGCAGCAACGTCCGATGATGTTCGATGCATCACTGGTATATCAAAGCCACAACTTTTAGAACATTTAGCTACGGCACCCAAGCTCGCGGATGCACTGCAGTGCACTGCCGGTGTCAAAACAGTGTGGACGTGGGGGCGGAAGTCACGATGGCGGTTTACAAACATCGTATGTATCCCCTCCAGCATCTGTTAGTGAGTCTCAACCTTAACTATGGCAAAAAAGATCGCTCTACTACCCCTCTTAACAGATCTTTTGGCGAGGTACAATCAGATTTGGCTGTTTCCTTCTGTCTTTGTTTTGTTCCTGCTGTTCGTGAATTATGATGGACGCAAGGAAGTGAAGTGCGGAAGGCAGAGTTGAGAAACTGCGAGTCTTCGGTTGGGGGATGGACTCAACGTGAGGACTGGACTGGAGACTCAAGACGGAAAGTCCGGTCAACATTCGTGCTCGCCAAAACCCGAGTACCACATCCCGAGAAGCTGTTAAGAGTGGTAGTCGAGGGATGAAATTGACTATGGGAGAATTTGACGGCACTAACAGACGGGCTGGTCGTGGTACCTTATCTCGATCTCATCTTGAGTTCTCGCTCGAGGGAGTTGGACGTCGCTGCCTCACTTGGTGAGTGAGTGGGTCGGAAGTGTGGTTTTCACACCGTGGTCGTATCAATTAAGTGTATTTGAAGCAGGTACTAAGTATCCTCCTCCGTCGAGTGCGTGAGTGTCCCAGGTCTGTCACGGTGCGCCATGTTTGAGCGATCATCAATCCACTGAATAGTGACTAGTACCCGGCAGTGAGCAACTGGCGGCAGTGACGTATGCAGCTGACTCGGAAGAGAAGTCCATCAAGTCCGTCAAGCTGAGTCTCGCTGGGCCAAGAAGTGCGCATATACTAGTATTCAAGTGGGAGGTGTCACCGGCTCAACGGTTGAGTGTTGCGTGTGTTGCAGTCAGGTCCCGAAAAGGTAAATGGTCAAGACATTATGCGACATGACTTTGGTTCACGGCGCTCAACCGTTGAAATTAGATCGTGATCGAATTACACTAACAAATCTCGTCCCCAGCCGGACTACGCCGCACATTTGCTTTGCAGCCTTGATTTTTGTGCACTGCATCGCAGGGCTTGCCGATCTTGCAGTGAGTATTGTCCAGTGCAGTGCAATGCAATTGAGCAGTGCATTGTGCAGTTAATATGCAGTGGTGCAGTGATGTACTCATGCAAAGGAAGGAAGGCGCTGTTCACAGCAAGAAAGCTCGCTCGACGTTCACCGTGAGTCTCCATGAACCACGAAACACCGAGATGGCTATCATCGGTGAGGTGTAGTAGTAGAACATCCCTTCCCTTGACCACCTACTTACACTCTTCTCGTTTCCCTCTCACTTCTCTAACGTGACTGAGATACTAGTCTATTCACGACAATCTCATCTCGATTCCCGCCCGAAACATACTCGATTCTCCAACCACGAGCGCCTAATCAAGCAAAATCCTAGCACGCCACAACATAATTCCACCTCCGGCGTACCAGCTTTCTTCACTTGTACCGGGATGTTCCGAATCCATCATCTCCAACTTGAAAATCAGCTTGATCCATCGCATGTACGACTACTTCCCCAGTTCAGTCATCGAAAATGGCCGAAGGGAAATTACCTTACTCTTTGGTGCTCTCACTCAACCTTGTGCTACACTATCGCCGGTGTCGGTTGCCGCGGCTACACAACCCCCCCCATGTTTTCAGTCTGTTCAACTTGGTTCCGGGAGCGCCAGATAGAAAGGACTGACCCTGGCGAGCCGTAGCTACCCGTTTTGTCAGGTCGAGGTGACGCGGTGGCGTGTAGTGGATAAGGGGCTGGCTGGATGGGCTGGCTGGTGTTTGACGCGGTGAAGACTGAGGCTCAAAAGGGCTGATTCAGGAAGGATACTGCTGCTGTTGAGGAGTGGCTAACTACAATCTAACCCTGGTTTGTTTGTTAGTTTGGTACAAAAAACCGCCCATTTCCACTCCTGAGCCATTGAAAGTGGAAAAGCATTCGGGCTTCGAGCGGACGGGTACCGTAGGGGACTGCGCTCTTATATCTTCCAATCTTTGGGAGCTCGAAGGAGACGGATAGAAGCATAAAAAAGAGGCTTCTATAGCGCATTAGGCCCTGGTCATTGTCCGTCACTGCAAACGAAGACCAGATTCCTCTCTGGAGAGGCCAATAAAAATTGCAAATCCCCCCTGCTCAACCATTGCCGAAGAACCAAACTAACAAACAAACCAGTATTGAATTGTACTTGTCTGCTAGAGATGAACGAGGTTAGAGGACGGTACGTTCCTGATCAGTGTTTCCGTGTGATCCCAAGGAGCTTGAGGACCAAATCGTATTAGGATTGGGGAAATTGAAGGGAGAGAAAGTCCAATTGAACCTGAAAGGGACGGAAATATTTGTTTGGGGCACTCAGTAGAGTTGTGCTTTGTCTCCACGTTGGTCATCGAGGTTTGCTTTCGTTTAGTGTCCAAGAATCATCATGTTGCAGCGGCATACACAAGGGGCAAAGTCTCATCTGGATCTTGTGCTTGAGATGACTTACCACCCCTTTACTGGTTTTCGTTCACTTTTTTTGGGGTTACTCAAGAGGCTTGATGAAAAGGATCCCAATGAATTTGAAGTTAATGAGTGACTAGAACACATGGAAAAGAAACACACCCAGCCCTCCTTTCTGTCACGCTTCCAAGATACCTCTGTACCATGACCTGGCAGTCAGAAGTTGAAGAGAACTCAGATCTAAATGCAGGGCGTGGCCAGGATACACGTCATCAAAGTGTTCGCAGTTATTGGAAGAGGTATCAACGCAGTTGCTGGAGCTATTCGCAGTGACGAAAGGTTAGTCAATGTCAAAGATGAGGCCAGTCGGAAAGGAGAAAAAGGCCGGAATGGGGGTTTAGTATCAACGTACAAGAAGAAGCGGCAGTAGGTTCCCTGATCGGGACCGACGGCGGACACTCTACCAGCGAGAGTGCTATCGAGTTTGACTGGAGGGTGAAATGAAGGTTAGTCACCATAGTTTAATCTAACAATGCACATGACCAAGAAAGGGCGAACTGTTGGAACGTACTGCATTGGTTGGCTTGGCTGGTGATATGCTCGCAGGACCCCTGAAACCCAGCGTCCACGCAGAGATAGACACCGAGTGTCACGGCACGTAGAATTATGGGCCGAGGCTCCAAAAGGTTCAGACGAATGTAATAAGATATTAAAGATGAGGAAGAAAGAGGAAGCTAGTTACATGGGATGGAAGGAAATAAGGGTTCTTATATGCAATGCCCATGTGACAGATGGGATCGAAACACAGGGACCTGACAAGTGTTGGCATGTGGTGCCATGGCGCCATCACACCGAGGGTAGCACGCTTGTCAAGGTCGCGGGTAGCAATATCGGTCTTATTAAAGACCTTGTAAGCCGCAGGAATATCGGCGGAGTCGACATGAGTGACGACACCGGTATCGGGGCCCGAGGGAAGGGCGGCGGCAAGCTTGAAGGCCACAAGGGCAGTGAGGACGGAGATGATCTGCATGGTGATGGATGAAGCTGTGTGCTTGGGTAAGAGGCTTGGAAAGTCAAGAGACTGGAAGGCTGCAGTGGATGGACTGTGTCGAGTTGGTGTGAGTGATGAGGAACGGAAGATGGTTAAAGTCGTGAGGACTCGTGCTCTTTATACCCAAAATTCCCGGACGATTCTGGACTGTACCAACTCCCAACGACACTCCTCGACGACAAGCCTCTTCGTCAACAAGACTCCTCCGCTTTATCAACATACTTCCTGAACGGGAATGCCGTATCGGTGGCAAGTAAGATTGGGCGATCAACATCACATTGGAATTCGTGTATTGCCATTTTGCAGGCAGTATGAACTCATACTCTGAAAACGAACGCAGTCCTTAGTAAGTCCACAACATCTTATATCAGCTGGACACAGTAGAAAGGTTGAAGTCTTTACATGGAGGTAGGATTATCAGAGTGTCTGGTCGGAGGCCCGGCACGTTCAGTCCAAAGGGCCCCTGAGTGAGTGGATAGCAACAACAGGGTTCGTGCATGGCCCTATGTAAGACTCAAGGCATTCTTCATCCTTTAGAATGGACAGAGAAACAAGATATACTCTCGCAAATATTCCGGCTGCTTCTTTCTGCAACGGTCTTAGCACTCAGAAGCTTCCCTAAAAGTCCCATCATGAGAAGACTGGGACAGAGTGCCCGTTCTGCCTCACCGGAGCCTGTTTTTGGACTCACTTTAGGTAATATCGGCCACCACAAGCTCTTAACAGTGATGTTGACATGGGTAACGAGCATCACAACGTCAAGCCGTTCCTCCCATGGTGCAATACCTCTAACGTTAATCAGCTTCATGACATCGAGGCGACACAAACCTACATATCACTATAGATTGTTCCAAGACGGACTGGTTTGGCATGTTGAGTGGGTGCCCATGCACCCATGTAATGTTGTTTTTCACAACCACGAGGGTTGGAAGCAAACCAACCACCTGGTGAAGGATTGAGTCAGCTGGTTTTGGAGAAGTATCGTTCATTGCCGCTGTCAGCGTGACGATGGCCTGCCGTGTGGGAAGTCAGTGAAGGAGCGAAATGCCTATACTGCTGTGGGTATGTAGTGGAGTGGGTGAGCGCTGGGCAAGACGAAAGACAGTCAGGAAACGAACAAGGGAAATCGATCAATGGCGACAGGCAGCAAGCAGGAAGAAAGAGGACATGTGGAAGATGAAGAAAACAACCGGCATCACTTCGCATCTCCGAGCGAAGGACCAGTGTTTAAAAAGGGGGGTATGTACATGCGAGATCTATTGGAACAATGTCTTGCGCCTTTTCCCTCCCTGTGTACAGACACTTCACCACAACTCCCTAAAATGCTGCAGGGCTAAAAGAAAGCCCCATCCCTTTAATGCCATTTGCTCTTCCAGATAACACCGATTGTGTAATACAGACAGAACTCCATTCCAATGTAATCCCTTTACCCATGACCCCTTTGAACGCTGTTCCCTAAAAGCACAACCGGACATACAACAGAAGTAGGTATGGGTATCTTGATGTGTCGAAAATCATGTTTCCGAGTATCCTGAAAGCAAAGTGGGATGCTATGATATGCTTCAGGTGCTGATGATGATGATGACAGTGTGTTTCTGTCACCGCTTCGGTGTGTCAACGTCACTCGCCACTCGTACAATCACCAAGGTCTGTACTTGGCGGCGATATGCCCCCATTGGGGTCACCGAGATCCAACTGAACCTAAGCAGCCGGCTTCAAAGCGTGGACAGTCGATCTGCTGTTGCCATGATGCTCATTCATTGACATTGGCGAATGCCCCTAGGCGTATCTGCTGCTGTCGCGATATTTGCTCTTTGGCTTGGGGTTGTAGTCCTCAAAGTAAGGGTGGTTGCATGCTGCCTTGGCAGAGATTCGGCCGGCAGGATCGTAGACGAGCATGGATTCAAGAAGCTCGAGACCGACGTCGTCGAGGTTCTGGCAGAGTGGTACGTTGTAGTCGCGTACCCACTTGGGGAAGGATGCCTTGAAGTCGGGATAGGAGGTGACGCCGGGCCAGATGTCCTCAGTAGGGGTTCCAAGCAGACTATTGGAGGAAAAGAAGTCAGTATGAAAGACTAGGGAAAAAGCAGGTATTGGCATAAACGTACCGGAAGATCTTGAAGATCTCGTCAATTTCCGAATCACCAGGGAACAAGGGCTTGCGTGTGCACATCTCGGCAAAGATGCAACCGACGGACCACATATCGATACCGGTCGAGTACTGACGACCACCAAGCAGAATTTCCGGGGCACGATACCACAATGTGACGACCTCGTGAGTATAAGTACGGAGTGGAACACCGAAGGCGCGGGCGAGACCGAAATCTGCCAACTTTAGGTTGCCGTCGCGGTCGATAAGCAGGTTCTGGGGCTTGAGATCGCGGTGTAGGACACGGTGGCTGTGGCAGTATCGGACGCCCTCGCAAAGCTGGCTCATGAACTTCTTGATGATATCCTCGCCCAGTCCCAAGTTGTGCAGTCCCGCGCCCGTACCTTCGGGAAGAGCCTTTCCCCTACCACCGTCGCTGACAGGAAGAGCCTCCATGTACTTTTTCAGATCGAGGTCGAGGAATTCGAAGACAAGGTACAGCTTATGGCCTGTGCCGCCGTCGGCGTGAACGATGTTGAGGAGGCGCACAATGTTGGGGTCGCGCATCTCCTTGAGCAGGGAGATCTCGCGGATGGCGGTGGAGGGAACACCCTCATCTTCGGCTTCGAGACGGATCTTCTTGAGCGCGACAATGCGCCCGCTGTTGGCCAAGTCGCGGGCCTTGTAAACGACACCATACGTTCCTGTGCGGAAGGTGGGAGGTCAGTATGTGGTCAAGAGGTAACAGAAGGGAGGTGGAGATGTAGTACCCTCGCCAATCTTTTCTAGCTTCTGGTAGTTCTCCATGGTGGCTCTGTTGCCAGTCTCGGTCGGTTTCCTGAGGTCGGCGTTTTTGGAGGTTCCTCGGTCTTCCTAGAGGGAAAGAATTGACCTTGACTGGAGTCGTGGTGCCTGGTGTTCGAGGTCGTGGTGGGGGACGATTACGACGATGCTATAGCGCTGTGGTTACAGTGATAGGAAAGCCCAGAAGCGTGGGGCGGCAGACGGAGAAGGTGAACGCCGTCGTTAAGCGTCGCTTTTTGAGAGTCAGGGTCCAGCCAGGGATGGTGTCCAAAGGGTTCGCAGTGGCGGATTGATAAACAGAAAGGGTGGATTCCTCCGTCGTTGCCGTCAAAAGGCTACAGTACTACCGTAAATACTTTGTTTTGGTGTTGACTTTTTTGTCGTGATGCTGCGTAGCCTGCGTCGATGGGTCGTCCTAGGCGGAGCTCGAATGCGGGAGACTGCTGATGGAGGACGAATTGTATGCACCAACACTATAATGCAGCGGTCGATGTAATTCCACTTGTCGTCCGTTGTTCCTGCACCCTGGATCTCGTTCAAGTTTTTAAGGGACGGTGAAGGGACGAGAAGTTCAAGGAAGGAGAGGCGGTGGGCGTGCAAGTTGTTGTTTCAAAGGTCGAAGTTGTGGTTGTCGTTCAAGTGCCGTGTGGTTTTCCGGATTTAGAGGACGGTTCAGGGGGTGGCCCGCTGTAGTGCAGTGGGTTCGTTAGTTCGACGATTGGCGCTTGCAATCGGTGTCAACACAAAAAGCGCGGACCGCGACGGCGCCACGGAAACCACTGGACTGCAAGGGAGGAAAGCACGCGTCCAAAGATGCCCCTGGTGAATGCCGCATTTTCGCGTCAGATCCAGGACACCCTTTTGTTTCGAGGTATTGAAAGATACAAGCTTTCAAGTAACACATGATACCGGGAGGCCGTCCCCTTGGTGCCGGTGTACTTCGTTGTACAGCCCACGGCACCAAGTAGGATGGGGCAGCCACGAGCTCTGTTGACTACCCCTGACTTGTGGCGCCCAGGGGCTCCAGCCAGACGCCAAGCCTCACCTCCACGCCCAAGCATCTTCACTTGGTTTCCCCACAATTTCATCTTTCGATATACAATCCGCAACGTCACACAAGGGAAAAGTCGAGTGAGATATCCGTATATATCTTTTGTCGATTTATTCTACGGATATCCGGTACAAGATGATGGGTGGACACCATGACCTGGATGCGCATGAGCAGCCGTCGGATGAGCTGCGACTCAAGTGGAAGTCGTTCGCCAAAGTCGACCAGAAGATTGTCATGAACAGCCCCGAGATCGATGACTTGCGCAGTCCAGAAAAGGCCCCCGAGTTTGTGCTCGCTGGCTCAATCCCTACCGAAACCTTGAACAAGTCGTTCAGCTATATCTGCCCCGAGGACTCACCAGAGTTCCGCGCAGACAAGGACGCCCCGATCTACTACCATCCCCTCTTGCCTGGTGAACACAAGTCTTGGACCTCTCTTCTCATGAATCTTCACTGACCAACCCCCCAAGGTCTCTTGATTCTCCCAAACATCATCCCCCCCGAGGTCCAGAAGACACTTCTGCGCAACATCATCCATCGCGATCTCAACAAACCCCATCACCAGACCAACATGCACCTTCATTTCAAGCTACCCTATCCGCCCGTCGATCCCGAAACAGGTGTTCAGGATTCCTTCTTCTCATATCCTCCCGATTCCGAGACTTGCTTTGAGCCCAAGGACCCTTCTGTACACAACCCTCTCACCTTTCACCAAGTCTTCAACCGCAAACTGCACTGGGTTACCTTGGGCGGCCAGTATGACTGGACGAACCGCGTTTACCCGGGCGAGCTGCCCCCCGAGTTCCCCAAAGACATTTCCGGTTTTTTGGAGACCCTGTTTCCCGAGACCTTGGCCCAAGCTGCCATTGTGAACTTCTACACCCCTGGCGACACCATGATGATGCACCGGGATGTGTCAGAGGAGACCGACAAGGGTTTGGTCAGCTTGAGCATCGGCTGCGATTCTCTGTTCATGATTTGCCCCGAGGACTGGGGCAAGCAGAAGGAGACCGAAGAAAGTGAAAGTGGCAAAGGCAAGAAAAAGTTCTTGCTGCTAAGGCTACGGTCCGGCGATGTCATTTACATGACCAAGGAGTCCAGATTTGCCTGGCATGGTGTGCCCAAAATCTTCAAGGGCACCTGTCCCGAGTGGCTGGAGGATTGGCCCGCGGAAGACGGAAAGTATGAGGCTTGGAGGGGCTGGATGAAGAACAAGCGCATCAACATCAATGTTAGGCAGATGAGGGACTGAGCCGCACAACGCCACTATCTCAGTCAACAGAATTCCAAGTGGACAAAGGCCGTTGTAGAACCCAACAATGACATGGCCATCACAATCTCATTGTAAACTGACCATGTCCCGTCTTCCAGAACACTTGGATTTTTACTACGTTCTAACACAGCCATCCGAGTTTTCGTGATAATGGTTTTACTGTCCATCACTTCGAACCATGAACAATCGCTTATGGTTTTCACTGACAAGCGTCCACAAATATGCGTGCGCGCCTCTCACTTTTGTCCAGTTTGATTTCTCATCATAAACAACAACAGCCAACAAATCATCAACCTACTCACGACCAATTCAACATGTCACGCCACGAGATCTTAGGGACCATCGGTGAGATCCTTGGATTCCCCGATTATCACTCAATTGACAGCTGGGTTAACTCTCGTGTCGTAGAACCTTTCTTCCTCGAGCTCGAAGCCGATTTCACCCTTGATGGCATCAATATCGAGCATGTTAGCGTAAGGGGCCGGGACGTCGTCAATCGCGTCAAGGAGTTCGTTCACCTGAGCGTTTCCCTGTCCCTCGAGCACCCTTCGAAGGTTAATTGGGATTTAGCCCAGCACATTGCCTGGTTCTGCTACTAGGTCAAACGAGCCGAAGGACGGCGCGCTCGACCTAGTGGCTGGCGCAATGCGCACTCGGCGGACGTGAGGGCATGGGCGACGGATCTGATCATTGTCCTTGATGGTCTTTGCGAGATGAGTTTTGGGCATTACATTACCTACAACTAAAAGGTACGTCAAGGTGAGTGTCGCTCCAGCACCATCATATTACCCTTCTACCTGAATCATTCCGTTTCAGGAACTACCATCGTTTCACTTGCTACTTTGTCGGTCAAAGAGATCCTATGCCTCCTATCTAGGTTCAGAAATACATCACATTTCCAGTTTACATGAAACTTAGCAACTAAGTGCCAACCCCATGTGCTTTTGTGAATAATGCGCCTGTCGACATCGGACGTTTGAGAGCAAGACATTATTGCTAACCCACCCACGATGCGCGCACCCTAGGCAGCAAATACCAGAGTAAAAACTAGCTACCTTCTTTGTCTTGGGCACGGAACTCGGGCTGAATTGTCGCCTTGTTCACTGAACAGTCTTCCCGATGCTGTCATCTTCTTTGTTTCGACGCGGGAACGCCGGGTTCATGTCTTCACAAGGACAAACAGGAACACTTCCGCTGACACAACCGTTGTGAACTGAACAGCGAGGATGTATTTCGAACAACACTCTCTTTCTGAGCACAGCCAAAGCATTCATGGCGTCAATCGCCGCTGTCTCACATCCACGATCAGGCAAAACAGCTTCTCTTTGATCACCCACGTTTGCCCCGCTCGATGACGATTGAGCCACAAGATATATAAAATTCGAGGTGATAGCTCATCTAGACTTTTCTCTTTCACAATCAGCCTCATCCAGAGCATTAAAAGCTTCACAACAGCAACTTCACAACAACAACAACAACCTCACAGTAACAAAACAAACAACAACCAACAGCCATCATCATCATCCAAAATGTCCTCCGACACCAAAGACACCACCATGTCCTCCGACTCCAAAGACACCACCTTAGAAAACACCTTCCTCACCATCGAAGAGATGAACACCCCCATCCACCGCGTCATCCTCGAACCCGCCTCCCTCAAAGCCGGCTTCACCTCCTACGAAGCCTTCACCCGCTGGCTCCTCTCGCCCGCCATCCTCCCCTTCTGGACCGAATTCGAGCGTGATTTCCTCCAACCCCTAATCGCCTCCAAGAAGTCCAACCCCAACCCCAACCCCAACCCAAAAGACACCTCCTCCACTCCCATTCCAGGAGGAGCTTCCGAACTAGCTTCCGAAATCCCCTACCCCACCTACCAACTCCTCCCCCTACTGGAGGCCTTCTTCGGGACCAGACACAACCTGATCAAAAACCCGACCAAGGAGACGTGGAAGCCGAACCACCACATCGCCTGGTTTTTCCTTAAGGTGTGGGACCGGAATCATGATGAGATGCCGGGGCAGAGCAGTCCCTGGCAAGGGTGTTATGCGGATAAACCCAAGACGTGGATGATGCAGCTTTGTTGGGTGTTGGATGGGATGACGAGGTGTAAGTATGGGGAGGAGTTGGGCGTGAAGGAGGTGAGGTACCCGTACCCGAATGGGCAGGGGGAAAATTATGTGGATAGGGGGTGTGTGATTGTTTATAAGATGTGGTGGAGATATGGTTGGAACGGAAACTGAACTGCTGGCGTACAGTCTGGGACTGGGGGTTTCTGTACTGGTGCTTTTGAACCTGTTTTTTTTTGTTCTTAAGGAGGCACGAATTGGATCTGATGCCATGTAACAAACATCAGGGTATGGACGACGATGAATGATAACTATTTTCATATATTTTTGTTTACGACTTGAGGTTTCAAAGAATCGGGGAAGGAGCCCGCCTGGTTAAGTAACCGAAAGAAATTCGGTAAACTGGGGTTGGGACCTTCCGAAGTCATGGCCGTGATCCGGAGATAACCTCGCGTCCGGACACTCAAATCGAGAATGACGACCATCCCTTCTCACCGGACAGATTTATCTTCAAATGGAGTTGGACAGCGTAATATATTGTGAGAACAAGAATGGACACCATCCAAGGCATTCGTGGAAGTGTGATCGTCGAGTAATCCGTCGTTCCGCAACACTGGCTGGGCCCTCCTGCCTGCCTAGCGGAGCTTGTTTCACGGATCTAATTATCTTCTGACTGATTGCGCTTTCTTTGATGTTTTGATTCAGTACTCCTTTCACTATGGACACGCAAAAAAGAGGTTGCCCAGAGACTCTTCTTTCTTTTATTACTTTTGGCCGGCCATCCGAACTCAAGGAACCAAAGAAGCCAATCTATCACGCTTTTCAAAGTCATCGAATTCCGCTGATATCGTAACCACACTCCCAAGCAATAGTAAGGTAGATATATATATACAGCTGAAGTTAGTGTAAGCCATTCAATGCTTCGTTTCATCATTTTGCCCCAAAAAAAATCAATGCTCGCTTAGAGCTGCTTTCCAAGGCGCTCGTCTCTCATCTTGCGGAACATATCCATAACACCGGTGTAAACAACCAGGAGGATACCACCACCAGGGCCGAGTCTGAGGACCTTGGGGATGAAACCCTTGTAGAGGGCGCCGAAGCCCTCCTCCTTGAAGACGGTCAGGACGGCGGGGAAGGCCCAGTTGTACTTGGGCACCTGGCCGGGCACCTTGATGGTGTTCTGGATACGGCTCTTGACGACGTCCATGGGGGTGTTGAAGATGGTACCGACAGTACCACCAATGGTACCCGCAATGATGTCATTGATGGTCTGGCCCTTCTTGGTCTCGGCCTTGGGGATGAGCTGGCGGACCTGGAAGATGCAGCCAAAGTAACCGGCGTTCCAGAGGATGTGGCGCCAGAGGGTCGACTCGAGACCGTTGTACATGGCGAGGAGGCCCTCGTTTCGGACTGTCTTGACGACCACGTCGACCGCGCCGTTGTACTTGCCGGCCGAGGCCTTGTCTTGGAGGCGGATCTTGACGAGCTCGAAGGGGACGACGATGAAGGCCTCGGTGGCACCGGCGGAGGCACCGGTAAGGACGGAAAGACCCTGGGTCATCTGCTGCTGGCCGAAGAGGTCGCGGTAGAACTTGCCCCACCTGTCATTGGCGGCGAACTTGGTGGCACGCTTGGGAGCCTCCATCAAGATGGGGGCAGTGATGCCGCGGTAAAGGCGGGAGGGACTGTGGAAGAAAGGTGTCAACTCGTGCCATAGACCCCGAGTTCTGTGAGATAGAAAGCATACCCCTCATTCTTGACAATCTTCTTGAAGCAGTCAAGCATGCCATTGTAGTGGTCGACACCCGCGGTGGGCTTGCCGGTCTGAAGTTGGCTGGTGGTGTATGTGGTTAGTTTCGGGAGAAGCGCATTGGGGCGCGGTGGCCGCGATAGGTGCTCGAGATGTCGTCGAGATATGGCAGGTGGTTGCGCTCACATTCTGGTCTTCAAGACATCAAGAGGATACCTGTGGTGACAATATATATTAGTATAGGGAGCTAATCGCAAGAGCACGCGACCACTTTGGGCACCGGCGGCTAGGGATTCGAGACGTACATAACCAAAATCTAGAGAGACCGGCGCAAAGTTCTAGTTAGTTACACAGCACAACCAGACGCTTCGAGTTCATTTTCAGGGGGGACCTGCTTCAGAGACACCAGCGATGGCACCTAGCACGAGAAATCACGGTTAGCATTGGTCCATGGTGTTTGCGACACGAGTGTCAATTGCGCGCCGGAGCTCGTGGAAGCTTCAAAATCGGAGGAGAGGGACTCACCGGCCGCGAAGGTGTAGCCAAAAGGAAGAGGGGCCTTGTCGGACGCCATTTTGAACTATGTATATCGAAGGAGATTTTGGGTATCTATGCGGACCAAGAACAGAAGATGGAAGAAAGAGCGCAATCAAAAGTTGAAGAGACCCGACGGGAGGAAAAAACTATACTTAGTGTCGTCACTTGGCGGATTGAAGAGGGAACATGCCGGACACGGGAGTAAGGTAAGGGACGGATAGCATCCAAGTGGATAACAGTCACCATGCCATGGCCGGGTCTGGCGGCGGTTCCTGCCCTTGGCTTGCTTGGGTTGGGGGTGCTCCTCAGCGATTCAGGACCTCCACAGTGACTCTTTGCTCCCGTCCTTGGCGGACCGCTAACAAGCTTCAAAGACAGCGGCATCGGAGCTACGGAGATCCTTGTTCCACGGTGGGAAGCTGAAGTCAGTCAGGATCATTACCTAATGACTTTTGGAAGATGTTAGTGTAGATTGGGGCCTACCTAGAGGCAGTCGGGTTGTTCGTTCTTATTCCCTTCTTCATAGAATGTCTACTCGCATAGGGGAGGCCTTCATGGAAAGCAAAGAGACGGGATGAAGAAGCTCCATTGAGCCGCGGTGTCCGAGTAATGGCACTAGCGGTGACTGACATTGTAGATCCTGGGCTCTTTGACATGTGCTTCCACTTTTATGAGATCCTGAACACGAACCTCTACGGATACAGCAACTGGCGGGGCTTTATAATTGGGGTCCATCCCATCGATGTCATTTCGTCCTGGGCGATCAAAGACAGCATGATGCAGCCTCAAAGTACTTCAGCCGTACTTCCCGTCGAAGCTTCCCAGATCTAATGTGAGATCCAGTTACATATGTTACACATAGTATGGCCTCAAGCTCCGGACCAGATTCAGACATTGAGGTTTTGGTGGAGGGGAACTCTGCCACCTTATCTTATCTGTCATCCCGTCGATAGCGCATGAGTGTGAATGGAGGGCTGTGATTGGCCAAGCTTGCGACCTTCCACTTTAGCATTGTGTTGTGGCCTTGCCTTCCACAGTGGCACATCCATGACAGTGACACTGACAACAAGTCGGCGACGACTTCTGGCTGAAGCTACAGCCGACGGTGCTCCTACCTACCTCTACCTCCTTTATCTCCCGCGCTCCTCCACCTCCGCAACCTACGGGATCTCCGACTTCTAGTTCTTTCTACTTCCGACCAGCCAGGAACACACTGCACCAACCATATCGCTTTGCCCTTCGCTACCTAGCTTCCAGCTCATCGCCCCTGAGAAACACAAGAACCCGTCCGACCGTCCAAATCCCCAACAGTCGCCACTCTCACAAACCCGCGACACACACACGCACTGACTGGAACACCCGAAAGAGCTCGACCGTTATCCTTCCTGGTGGACGTCTTTCCTACGCTTCCTAACGCACCTTTAAACAAGCCGTGGTCCAGTGCGAATCACAGCGAGGTGCTATCGAAGCGTGTCCGAGGGACTTCCCGCCGCCCATCCGGCTTCTAATGACGCAGACGCATCTCCTTTGGAAATACTACTGGGAAGACGATGTCGAAAGATTTCGACGCCTCCTCTCTCCCGCTGCCCACGGCTCCCAACCGGCCGGCCGGAGCAGCAACATAACCTCGTGCGCAGCCGGCGGCTCTGGCAGTCTCGGTACATCGCCCCGTCCGTCGGGCAAGCCCCGCAAACAGCCCAACAGCGCACTCTCACGAATCGATGTCAACAGTCGCGACCATGTCGGCCTTACTCTACTTCTGCGCGCCGCCTCCTCGACAACCAAGAACGCCGTGTCTTTCGCTGAAGCCTTGATCGAGCACCCCGCCATTGATATATACGCCCAAGACCCCGAGAGTGGCTGGAATGCCCTTCATCGTGCATTATACGCAGGGAACATCTCGATTGCCCGGATGCTGCTGGATAAAGAACGGCGGGACTTGACAAGGCATACAGCATCGCTTCTTCGGGTTGGACAGCTGATCAAGACCAAGGATCATGAAGGCTATAGCCCTTTCGACTTGTATAACGCGACTATCGGCGAGCGCGACTTGGTGGCTCTTCGGGAACTGGGAGGCGTGCAGGATGAAGAGGACGGATCAGACAACGAAGCCGAGGTGGCTCAGGAGAGCGTTTCCAGGAAATCCAGGCACGGAGCCCTTGGCGAGGACCTGTACACTTTTGGAAGCAACCGGAACCTGACATTGGGCCTCGGGGGTGAGGATGACCGTCAGTTCCCCGAGCGTGTTTACCTAGAGCGGCCGGCGCAGCTGCTTCAGCGATTCTATAACGAGTACCTTGAGAGTGCTGGATTAGAAGATTCCACTGCCCAAGACCTGAGCGACATTCCAGCTCTTGTTTTGAACCGGCCGATCGTCATCGAGGATGTTGTCATGTCGAAACTTCACAGCGCCGTTCTCACAACAGACCCCGTCTCGAATCTGTATGTTAGTGGTGTTGGTCGAGGTGGACGACTGGGACTTGGAGATGAAAATACCCGCTTCAAGTTTACGCCTGTCCAAGGTCCCCTGGCCGACAAAAAGGTCATCCAGGTTGCGCTCGGGCAGAACCACACCATGGCCCTTGATGAGAGCAGAACTCTATGGACTTGGGGTAGCAATGCCCACTCTCAGCTAGGCTATACTCTTCCTGAGCCGACTAAAAAGGACGAAGACCCCATAAGCACTACGCCGCGGCAGGTATTCAGCTCCTTGAAAAAGGAGAGTATCCTTGGTATTGCCGCTTCCTCGATCCATTCAGTTGCTCACACCGGCATCTCCCTGTATTGCTGGGGTAAGAATGTTGGCCAACTGGCTCTGATGGATTCGGACTCGAGATCTCTCGAATACCAGCAGACTCCGAGGAAGGTGGCAGCTTCACTCTTCTCATCACCGATCGTCATGGTTTCAGCTATTGACAAGGCGACAACAGTCCTTCTCCAGAACCACACGGTCTGCGTGTTTACTGGTTACGGATATAACATCGTCAAGTTTCCCTTTGCGACCATTGATACGATTGGCAATCTTTCCATGTCCAATCGGTACGAGCCAGGTGGGAGCCAGATCTCTTATATCACATCCGGTGGAGAGACGATTGCCGCTTTGACAAGGCGTGGAGATCTGTTCACCATGCACTTGGATCACAAGATGGAGACGAACCCACCGGCGACCTCAACCACCAATCCGTCCAAGATCAAGGGTGCTGTAACCCAGCCACAGTGTATCTGGAGCGCCAGAAAGGATGGAGTACGATCGGTTGGAGTGGGTGAGTTTGGCTCGGTTATCATCAGCACCCATTCCGGAGCCGTGTGGCGCCGCATCAAGCGAGCAAAGGTCAAGGATGCCTATTCGGGGTGTTCGGAATCAAAGCGCAACGACTTCAAGTTTCAAAGAGTGCCGCATATCACAAAGGTTGCTGCAGTAAGGGCATCACCTTTCGGTGCGTTTGCTGCGATTCGCCGAGATTTGGATGTATTGAAGGAACAGCTCGTGGTTTCTGAGCAGTCTCTTTGGAGGGACGTGGCACCACTCAATCCTCTGGAGGGTTTCCGGGCATCTGAGCCGAAGCCGCAGCTTAGGAATAAGGAGAGTGTCAAATTCTGGGAAAATGAGACGCTCAAGTCCAACCTCGGATCAGTCGCATATGAAGTGCTCAAATCCCCGGATCTGGAAGAGGATTTGGAGTCGTACCTCGCAGAATGGAATCATGTTCACCAACCATTGGACGCCCTGGTATGCAGCTCATCCCTCCCGGATATTCGGATACCAGTTCACGCCTGGCTCCTCTCCGCCCGAAGCTCCGTGATTCGGCATGCTCTGGCCCATTCGCGGAGGCTTAGCTTTGATATTCAGCACGAAGCATTTACGATCAGCAAGGTGGATGGAAAGCCCCTGCTTATCTTCCAGGGCTTGGATGTGATCGCCTTGCTCAACCTCGTTCACTTCATGTACGAGGACAAGGTGATACCAGCATGGAACTTTACACGTCAAGCCCCGCCATTGGCCTACAGATATCGTCAAATTCGCCAGGAGGTCATGAGGCTTGCCACTCGTCTCAACATGCATAATCTTGAGGCAGCGGCCCGACTGCAGGTTGACCCCAAGAAATACATGGATGAGGATTTCCGGGTAGCCATCAAGGACCGCACCTTCTTTGGCGACGGCGATATCCTTCTTGAACTAGACGGCCAGGAGGTTGCTGTCCACAGCTCCTTTGTGTGTCAGAGGTGTCCTTGGTTCCAGGTGCTTTTCCACGGACGATCCAGGGGCATTTGGCTGGCTACGCGCCGGGAAGAAGCAGAAATGGAGAACGAGAGGATCAAGATTGACCTCAAGCATATGGACCCCGGCGCATTCGACTACGTGCTTCGCTATCTTTATGGCGACTACGGCGCGGAGCTGTTTGACCCCACCGTGTGTGACACGTTCGCGGACTTCCTTGACCTTGTAATGGAAGTGATGTCCATCGCGAACTACCTGATGTTGGACAGGCTGTCACAGATCTGCCAGACCATCATGGGAAGATTTGCCAACATTCGCAACATTGCCAACTTCCTTAATGCCATCAGCCCATGCTCTATAACCGAGTTCAGAGATGCCGGTCTGGAGTACATCTGCTTGCAGCTGGAGTCGATGCTCGAAAACCACCTTCTTGATGAGCTGGACGATGACTTGCTTCTGGAGCTTGACGCAATTGTTCGTGACAACCAGGCTGCTCAGTCGCCGTTTGTAAGGAGTGGCAGATCTGAGATGCTGCTTCATGAAGCTCACCCAGAGCTTGCTCAGGATATCGATGAAGAGAGGCAGATCAGGGTTAAGGAGATTGCTTTCAGGGCTACAAGGGAAGATGATCGAAAGCTTTCTACGTCCTTCAGGGGCAAGGGTGGGAGTGGTGTTGATGATGCATCAGCGTTCACTCCTGCTGCTGACAAGACCAAGAAAGTACCAAAGATTGCCAGGAATGAACCGTTTGGTCTTAGTCCTGAATTGAAGCCGAAGACCTCGCAGGCAGATCTCATCTTCGATATGGAAGAAGACGGTCCTGCTGCGGTCGGTACGCCCCTTAATGCCAAGGCCCCAAAGCACTCTACTCCGGCGGCAGGTATGGACCAGTTTCCGTCACTAGGCAGTTCATGGAAGGGCAAAGCTCCGATCAGGAGAGGGCAACCGCCTGCCGTGGCATCACCCAGCTCTTTACAGGCTGGAACATCGCCGGCGACGAAAACCGGAGGAGCTCCATGGGCGAACGCCCCGATGCCGGCCTCGAAGGTTGGCTTGCGGGATATCATCCAACTGGAAGCTACATCTACTCCAGTTGCGGCAGGTCGGTCAGCCCTATCAGAGGGCTTGGCTGCACAACAGCAACAGCAAACGGGCAAGGAAGGGACATTGGCGCCGAAGGTTGCACAACCCAAGCTGTCTCAGAAGGAGAAGAAGAAACAGCAGCAGGAACAGGCGGCAGCTCAGGCAGCTTTGCACTTTGCCAAGGCTTCCCTTGCAAACAAGCCGGCATGGGGTGACACTGAATCGAAGGCGCCGCCTCCTTGGAAGATGGTGACTGCCAACAAGGCCAAGCCAGCGCCGCTAGATGTCAATCCTCCCGTGTCTTCTTCATCAGTAGCAAAGCCACTAGTTGCAGCGGAGACCACACCTGTCGCCCGAAGGACAGCATCGCCAGACACACGGTTCTCTGGTCAGCGAACGTCTAGCAACAACAGTGTTCACACAGCCAACCCTAACCCCAAGTCCAAGTACACACCTACACCCTCCTCTTCCTCAGCTCCCCGTCCTAGTCCCCAACCTCCAGCCCAGCAGTTCCCAAGCCTCGGAGAGTCTTCCAGCAAACCAATTGTCCCCCACTCCAAGGTGTACATTGCTCCTGCGCGCAAGGACGAGCATTTGCTGGGCTTCAGCATGGAGGAGATCATCCTGCAGCAGAAGCTCGAGCAAGAGCGGATCAAGGGTGCCACGTCCAAGAGGTCCTTGCAAGAGATTCAAGAGGAGCAGGCGTTCCAGGAATGGTGGGATGCCGAGAGCAAGCGGTTACAAGAGGAAGAGGAGGAAAGAAAGAGAAAGGCCACCGAGAAGGAGGAGAAGAAGGAGAAAGGTAGCAAGCCAAGGGGTAAAGGAAGAGGAAGAGACAATGTCAATGCAGCCGAAAGTTCAAAGGCTGGCGGAGATGTCACTACGAAGGGCGCCGGAAAGTCGGGAGGTGGTGAAGCCAAGGCCGGAGAACGGAAGGGTGAAGGGAGAGGTGGGCGTGGAAAAGGAGGTCCAGGGGGTAAAAAAGATGGGCCAGCGCCCGGCGAAGGAAAGGGAGCTGTCGCTGCTGCTACGTCAACCTCTGCAACACCAGCGATACCAACAGGTCCAAAAGGCCATGGTGGAGCAGCAGCGCCACAACAACATCCCAGAAAAGCAGACGGCGGAGAGGGAAGCAGCAACCCGAGGAGGAGAGATAGGGGAAGAGATCGAGGGAGAGGAGGACGAGACGCCACGCAAGTTGCCGGCGCTGGTTCGACTCCCACCGGTCCCGCCATCCCGGCTGCTGGGAGGTAGTGTTGGGCTTTGTTGAACGGGTGCCCTGCTTGTCGCGGGAGCCGTGCACAGAAAGATTTATGGGTTAATGGGGTCAAGCAAAGCCTGGGAAGGAAACACGAGGGCACGGCAGCATTGGCACAGGACAAGATATGGTATTTCTGGTTTTTCTGTTCAACTCATAAGGCTGCATATACACGGGAGGGAAATGCATCGCTGCTCCACTACTGTTGCTTGCTGCTGCTGCTAGTTGCTGGCTGCAACTGTGTACCGATACTGTAATCTGTAGTACGCTATGTATGTGGCATATCGTGATACGTACGATGATCTTGATAACGACCATACTGGCCGATGTTTTGGGTATTTGGTTTCGAACATTTTCCAACCACCTCTGTTTCTACAGGTTGACGATTCGACGGGCGTTATCTCCGTATGTCGTATGTATGAGGCCTCCTATCAAAACCACGACGACAACAACGACAGAAGTAAGCAGCGAACCGTACATGTAAGTGGAAGTTGGTGCTATCCCCATGTTTTTCTTTCCACGTATTTGAGGTTGTTGCAGCCTAACGACCTCTTGTCCTTACAGCTCAACTTGGTCCAGCAGATCTAGGCAGAATCCTGACATGCATCAAGCGCGCGACCCGACTGACTGGAGAATGATGGCAGAATGTTTCAGGATTTGAAGTTCATCCACGCAAGAAAGAAGACGAAGCTTGCATAGTGTTACTAACACCGATTTCCGCCCTTCAATCTGAATATCAGCGGTACAGTCGATATTACTCTTCTGCTTTCCCGTCATTTACCTCCAATCGCCTTATCACCACCAGGGCTTACATACCTATCAACCCCCGTGTTACCACTCTACGTATTGTAGCTCACGAGCCACGACTGTTCGCCGCCCCAGATCTTCTCACACCCCTCGGCTGCCTATGAGTCTCTTGTCTATATCATGGGGTAGTTTCACTACAGTCCATTGCAATTCGGGATCGGACTCGATGGATTACACTGCGTAACTAGCTGTCCGAGTTCAATTTCTGTTGTGGGATATCGGTGAGGCGAGGCGAGCAAAAGCTTCCAGTTCGGTTATCTTGCTCTTTGGACGACGACATTAGAGGCATTTAATGATGGTCTGGTTTACATTGGAATTTTCTTGCCCTTTTGGACCCAGGGACAAAGTCTACATTTGCACTCCAAACGAACATCAACAATCAATAAAACCCAAACCCCCATGTTTCTGTTTTCCAGTACTGTATGTAGTCGACAGATCGGATCTAACAAACAACAAACAGCCCCAGTCTAGGCCCTTCAATCGTATTTGTATTCCCAAGCCCAGATTCATACTGTGTGGTTAACACCGCGCTGCGGGTCACACTTCCGTGAGGCTAAACTTCCAACGTGCAATTCAAGATGCATATGGAAACTCAAGGCTGTCTTTGGTACACTGCACTGCTTGTGGACTGCTGCAGGTTCGGAGCCTCTACCTAGGCTTCAGCGGCTGTTCATTCGACAATCGACGACGGCTGCGTAGGCAGGTAGGCAGTCAGTCTCAAGGCAGATACCTATGTCCGATGAGGGGCCTCGCTTCGGTTGTCACAAAACAAAGAAAGAGGGGAAAGGCTGCTACTGTAGGTACAGCATATGGGTATCGGTAGTTTCCGTTTGTGAGTTAAGGGAGTAGTGTAGCAAAGATAAAGAAAGAGACTTGTCTTGGCTTCAGGTTTATGAAAGTGGTTGATAACTGTGTCGATCCTAGCATTGTTCGTTGTGAAGGTCAGATCAAATAGGATGATCGGACTTGCAGCCTTATCGCACATGGAGATATGACGGATGAAATGGTTGCATCATCTCCATTGTCCTTTTGCGATTCTCTCCCACCTTGTCATATTCGTCTCGTCGTCCTCTGTCTCTTCACCAAAAGAAAACGTGCGGACAACTTGGGGAAAGGGTTAGCGAACTAGTTGGCCGAACCAAAAGAAGAAGATGTTGGATGTTGACCGCCCACCCTTTCAGAGTTTCAGGGGCAGTTGTGCTGTCGATGACTCGATGACGAAAGATAAGTTGGTGATCACGAGGCGGTCCTGGCATGCCCACTGCCGGGGGAGGTTGGCGTTTAGAGGTTGTCACTTTGCCTACCTATTACATATTGATGCACTGCAGCATCAAACAGACAAGCACCTTCGAAGAAAGAAGGGCTGCGAGGTACGGTACGTAGTCAACCGAGACAAGGTCGGGGTGGAAGGAAAGTCACAGCAACCAAAGTGAAGTCACAAGGGACACAAGCGACCTTGTTAGTGATAGTGTGTTATCGGCAGTCACCAGGAACCCGGCCACGGCAAGGCCCGCACCTGGACAGCGTCATCTGAGATCTTTTGCCGCCTCTTTTCTTTCCTTTCTTACACGATGGACTTTGGATATTAATGACAGGAAATGCCGAATGTCGACCTCGACACGACGTTTGATGGCGTGCTCGGAGAGTAACACATTAACAGATTACAGTATCAACGGTGCCCGTGCTATCCAGACAGTGGTGGACAGTGACAAAGCTCCCCCATGCACGCAGCCATTTGCTCCACTCGGCGCGGGAGTGTGCCGGATGACTGCCAATCATTGGCCCATTGATTGGTGTTATCCGGAGCCGCCACGACGAACCCTGAAACCCCGGACCTGCCTCACTGGAACCACTCTACACGCTTCTCTGACGCGCTGGAGATAGTGCAAATGGACGTGCTCTACTAACAGTTTTGTATCGAGATGCTGTTATCGTTTGTTAAAGCTCTTGTTCCGCGATATCTTGGTCCGAGTGTTGTGACAGTCACCGCCAACCAAGTCATCCCGTCTACGTCGAGTTGGATCCCTACCTTTCATTCCACACCTCCCATCCATCCATCCATCATCTCTCGACTCCTTCTCCTCCTCTTTTCTCTTTTCCTACATCGGCCTCTCAGATTCTGCCTTGTGGCACGGCCTGACGACCCATCACCTTGTGTTTCTTCCCAACCTCCATTTGCTAGACTATAGATTTCATCCCCTTCTTCCATTGTCTTCCTCTCTGTCTGCCTTCCTTATCCGACTGATCGCCGATAACAAACGATGGATGCAAAGGTCCGCTGGCCTCGCCTTTCCCCGACCATCCTCTAGACACTCGAATATTCCCGACGCAGCTCTCGACGCAGCCCCCTTTTTTCATCCGACTGTTCAGCCATATTCCCCGTATTGACGCCTTCCATCTGCGCTCGCTTTGACAGACACGGCAGCCTCGCGACATCGTTATCAGTCACACCGGAGCCGGGGCTTGGCGCCCGTGTCAAGCATCCCACGCAATATCATTTATACATAGCCGCCGACTGCCATCCATAATGCATCAACAATCTCGTCATCCCCCGAGGGTCTCCTCCCCCGCAGTTTCTGCTCAGACAAACCCCACACGCACCAACAACCAGAGGGATCCCCGGACTCGCACCAGCACCGACGCCGCGGACAAGGACGGAGCCGGTGGTGGTCAGGATGGCGGTGATGCCCCCGCTCATGCCGCAAGTCGGGATGCCATCAAGAAGCTGGACCAGATCATTCAGGTGCGCAATCTCGACAAAGCCGCCCTTATCGCTGGCTAACTGACATGAGTGCCAGAACTTCTACTACAAAGCCGCCGTCCTCATCATCGGGTCGCGACAGCATCTAACACCCGGGCCCAAGAAAGGGTTTAATAAATGGGTGGGTTTCATTTTACCAGAATGTGCGACAAGCCGCTGACGACGAGATGCAGTTCTCGATAGAGACCGTGGATACCGAAGACTTCAAGGATGAGCTCCGCGTATACAGGAATTCCGACAGCTTTACGAATCGCCCGCCTCCCATGGTCATCGAGACCTACATCGACGCATCGCGCATTTCCAGCAGTCACAGCCTCGCACTCGTGGACGATAATGGCAAGAGGTGGGATGTTCTGGAAGCCCTGAAAAGTTCGGAATCGAGCGAGGATTCACCACGGAAACGTCACCTCCAAAAACGGAATACCGAGGTCATCTTGGAACGATGGCGCATCGAGCTCAAGTGCCTTCCGAATGATGACGCTTTGCAAGATTTTGGACCCAGCCTGCCCACAATCTATAAACGGAGCATAGTATTCTTCCGGTCGCTGTTCTTGGCCACGCGCGTCATGCCCGGCTGGAAGTTCTCCCAGCAGACCATGACCAAGGCCATCCATCCCGCCCTGGAAGTAAAGTGCCGCATTGTGCCGGCCGAGGCCGAGTTCCTCAACTACGATCCGCTGCGGCAACCCCTTTCTGACAGTAAGGATGTAGTAACGGAGTACATGTTTGGTGATCTAGAAGTGCCCGTAGGCCGCTTCAATGCTTCGGTTATCTATCGGAATGACTGCACGTTTCGGGTCGAGGATGCGGACGCTCTGCTGAGCTCGCGACTCATGGGTGTAGACGAGGATTTCTTCAAGCCCTCAATACCTCAACGACCGCAACCAGTCAGCCACGGCCGAGCGGACTCGTATGCCGAACCCGGATCTTTGCCCTCACACCGCCTGGGACGAGGAAATCGAGAACCGCATCAGACATATGGCAGTCTATCGACATTTCATGGCGCCGGCGCATTCGGCACAAGTCCCATCTCGGCGCTCAAGGCTGTTCGACCTGCGGGTTCAGACACTAGCTCGCCACCGGGCTCTTCTGCGCACAGCGTTGACCAGTCAGAGCCATCACATTCTCTGCCCATCCGTGGTGCATCAAGCCGGACATTGCGGGATCTGGAAGGCAGCAGACGACCTTCTATTTCGTTTCAACCATTTAAAGCTGGGTCGATATCCGGTAGTCCCAGAATTCCAGATCATGGGTCACCGGCCTCACCACATTCGCTTCCACGACCTTCGGGTCTGAGCGGAATCTCACAAGCCAGGAACAGGTCATCGCTTACGGCAGGAATGGCAGCTTCTTTGCGTGGTCCGGGTGCTGCCGTTCCGACGGATATTCCAAAGTCTAGCTCACCAAGGCCCCAAAGCCGGTATAGCAGTAGCTTCAGCCATCGCCGATCGCGGACCTCATTTGGCGGCCAAAGCAAGACGGGCGATGATGAAGCCAGTAGTAGTGGCAGACAAAGCCTGTCTTCGTCGGCTCAACCTGGCTCGGCCCTCCTCGCTGAACCCGTGGGTGGAGTGGCCAGTTCAGGTTCATTCCAAACGGATGATGACATTTCCGAGTTTCTTAAAGAGCTTGACAACAGAAAGAAGTTGCCGAGCTTTGAGGCTACCAAGAAGGGAGAGCAATCAGCTGCTGCTCGTCGCACTGCTGCACAGCTCAACAAATTCCACCTCATGAGGGACTCTAACAATGCGCTGACGGAGAGCATGATGATGGGATCTTCGACTTTGCACCGGAGCTCGAGCTCCAGCAGCAGACATATGCCTAACATGCCAGGTAGCCTGGGAAATCCGGGCATCAGTATGAGTGGTGCGAGCGTCAGCAGCTCACCGGGCGGAAAGCCCCTGAGCCCGCATACGCCTCACACGCCCGCGATTCCTAGTCGGTTGAGCGAAAACTCCATTATTGATTACCCGGCCCAGGCTAGCTACACCAGGAGAGGGAGGTCTCATGTGGTACCCACCGAGGAGGAGGAAGAAGATGGCGATGAGGCTACGCAAACCGACCGCCAACAGGAAACTGGGGGCGGCGCAGTCTCGGCGGCAATCGATATCCCGCTCTCTCCTCGCCTGCTCCATGCGGGTAGCGCGAACCGCCGAGCGAGTTCCGTGGCCCAGCAGCACCGTTCGTTGGCGGCTGGAGCGGGCGCCGGGACGGGAGAAGATGATTCGGATATCGCCCAGCGGAGCTTGAGCGTCGGGGCAGACGGCGGCGAGGCACCCTCGCTGAGCACCCTCCTTGCTTTCCAGCGAAGAAATTCCGGCGATGGCAACGAGGGCAGCTCGGCTGGGAGTGGAATGGCTGGTATGCAGCAACTTCAGCCCGCGGCGGATATCAGGGCTTCGGCGGAGCTGAGGCAGGCAAATGAGAATCAACCGACGAACTCGCCGGCTAGGCTCATGACTACCAGTCGGACCCCGTACAGGTCGCGGTACAGCTACCATGGCACGACGACGAGTTCCACGCAAGGGCGCGGTAGCGGGATGGGGTCCGGCACTAGGGGGACACCGCCCCAGTCGAGTAGTAGGGGATCGTTTACCGGGATGAGGTATATGGGCACCTTGGCTGGAAGGGGCGGCGGGATGGGTGTTGGTCAGGGTGAGGATGGCGCCGATGACGAGCCATTGTTGTTCGCCATGTCCGAGCTCGAGAGGCCTTCGAGGCGCAGTTTGGAAGAACCAAGAGGTGGTGGTGTGTTGGGAGGATCTCCAAGGGGGCTGAGGGGAGGAGCTCCGGGGACTGGAGAGGCTAGTGGAAATGCTGGCGGTGGAAGTGTGGGTGATGGAGAAGAGTATGAGGTTAGGGGAACTACGCGTCGGGGATGGTAGTTCACTTGGTGTGCATTGCATTGCTCTGGATCACAGTACGGGAGCGGTGTATACCCAGGAAGTCGGGAAGGGTTGATGTCTACATTCCACAGAACAGAGAAATCAGATGCCATTCTCGACATGAGCCTACTTTGGGTTTCTTGATCCTCGGAAAACTCTCCCTCCTCCCTCTTGTTCTTTTCGGGTTTACGGGTAGCTGATCCTTTCAGTCGGCATCGTTGGGGGTTCACGGGTGAACGTGGAGGGTCTTGAGCTTGTTTGTTCATATTTAGGAAGCCTATTCCAGCCTCAGCGAGTGGCTGTTAGACACCTGTTCCTCGCCAGCTAAGTCGATATACTTGTTGCGTTAGTAGCAGCAGTTAAAGCTGGGAAGATAATTGGATTTTTCAATATATAACAACTATATAACAACTCGAGAGTCCCCGTGCAATGTACAGAAAATGAGTTCAAGCTGGTTGTGGTTGTGATATTCAGCAGTTTAGATCATATGGGACAAGGACCAACATAAGGCCCCAGCGGGGGCTGTGTTGTGTATAAGTCACTTGAAACTATTCCCAACTTGGAAGAGGATAGGGGCATGAGGCGTGATCTTTTGTCATGGCAAAGACGATATGGCATTAAGAAGTTCTTGAGAGCCTTCCTTCAAACCAACTTGAGATAGCTGAAAAAGAAACACTCTATCTCGTTGATTCCCATCACCAACCTCACTGCCTTCAACACTTGATGCGATTACGAGCGGCAACAGAGCCAAGAGAAAGGCGACGACGCAATGGAACTCGAATGACGGAATGCCGCTGCACTGAAGAGTGGAGCATGTCCTCCACTGTATGCAAAAATGCCCCACATGATTGGATGGAATCGAGGCTGAGCAGGCCACCCTCGTGCTCCTGTTCAGTGGTGTTCGAGTCCCCTGTTGGTGTTGGTTTGGGGCGCTGACAGACAGAGAGCGAGACGGGAGGGAGGTTCGTCATCCGCTGCTGCCAACGGCGAATTGGTGCGACAACTTCCACTTGGAGCATCCAGAGAACATCCAAACACCTTCGACAGCTCGAATCTTTCCAATATCATTCTGCGCGCCATATACGAATCACATCCATTGTACATCCCAATAACTCGACACGACTCCAAACCAGCTCCAGGCAGCTCCCGGTGGTCGAGCTCCTCTCCCCCTCTTCCTCTGCCTAACAATACCGATACCAACACCGACCTCTCGCTAAGTGATTGTGACGACATCCCTGAGGTTGCGCCCATTACCACCCCTCTGTTCCTCGTAATCCGCCGACCAAACAACTCTTGATACACCAACTGCCAGACCAAACACAGCCATCACAATGTTTCGAGCGGCGGCCGCAGGGCCTTACGATGAGGCCATCAGTATGTTTACCTCGACGTCTATGTATTCGCACTTGTGCTGACACCAAGCTCTCGCCCAGACAAGGCAACCGACGAAAACCTCACGTCCGAGGACTGGGGCGCCATCATGGAGGTCTGCGATCGAGTAGCCACCGATGCCAACGGTGCCAAGGAGGCTGTCAACAGCATGATCAAGCGCCTGGCCCATAGGAACGCCAATGTCCAGCTGTATACCCTCGAGGTGAGCTCATCACGTCACCTCTCTACCAGCCCATGTCTTCCAGATAGATGATGCTAAATCCCCCAGGTTTCCAACGCCCTCTCCCAAAACTGCGGCAAGAACATGCACCGCGAGCTCTCCAGCCGTGCCTTCACCGACGCCCTCCTCAAGCTCGCCAACGACCGCAACACCCACACCCAAGTCAAGGCCAAGATCCTCGAGCGCATGAAGGAGTGGTCCGACATGTTCAAGTCCGACCCCGACCTCGGCATCATGTACGACGCCTACTACCGCGTGAAGCAGTCGAACCCGACCCTGCAGCCCCCGAGCGCCCCGCAAAAGAACGTGCTCACCGACGCCGACCGCCAGAAGGAGGAGGACGAGCTCCAGATGGCTCTCCAGCTCAGCTTGCAGGAGGAGGAACGGAAGAAGAGACCCGCTGGTGCTTCGGGAGCAACTGCGTCTTCGTCCGGTGGTGCGGCGGCAGGGCCGAGTAACGCCGGAGCAGGAGGAGCATCGGAGGGACGCACGAACTCAACCGCTGGCCAGGCGGAGGCAACACCGCAATCGGTTCCCTCTGGTACCACGGCCGCTACCGTGTCCCGCGTCAGGGCGCTCTACGACTTTGTGCCTTCGGAGCCGGGCGAGCTGGAGTTCAAGAAGGGCGATGTCATTGCCGTGCTGGAGAGCGTGTACAAGGATTGGTGGCGCGGATCTCTCAAGGGCAAGACGGGCATCTTCCCGCTGAACTATGTCGAGAAGTTGACGGATCCGACGCCGGAGGAGTTGCAGCGTGAGGCGCAGATGGAGGCGGAGGTGTTTGCGGAGATCAAGAATGTGGAGAAGCTGTTGACGCTCTTGAGTGCTGGAAACACGGGGCCGAGAGAGGAGGATAATGAGGAGATTTCGGTGGGTGATGATTTGAAACGGGGTTGAGAGGCGATGTGCTGACGACGAACAACAGAAACTATATCACCAGACGTTGGCGATTCGGCCTAAGCTTATTAAGCTGATTGAGAAGTATTCGCAGAAGAAGGGTATATCTTGGACTATTCTTCACTCAAGACTTACAAGCTAACGGCATATAGATGATTTCACACAGTTGAACGAAAAGTTCATCAAGGCTAGGAGAGATTATGAAGCGCTCCTCGAATCTTCCATGTCGCACCCACCAGGGCCGACTTATCACCAATACGCAATGAGACCTCCAATGACCAACAGCTACGGATCTGGGGGATACGGCGCGCCTCCTCCGCAACAGCAACAGGAGCCTCCTCGGTTCTATACTCCAGCGCCCGTTCAAGGTACGCCCGTGGGAGAATTCGGTGGCCAAGGGATGTATTGATCCAGTGTCAGTGAAGGACACAAAAGCTGATGTACATAAACCTACAACCTAGATGCACCCCAGTATCCTGTAACCTCGCCGTCGCCTAACCCTAACCATTTCATCCGCCCTGCTGGCACTCCTGCGCCCTATTACATGGGTGGTGCTGAAGGCCCGGGACAACATCAACAGCAACCTCCCTATCCTCAACAGCAACCGCAACCAGCATATGGTGGTCCCTCCCGACCTCAAGACCAGCGTATCCCATCAGGGTCCAACCCCATGGCCCCCGCTCCGCTGAACACGACTTCCTCGCCACCACCAGGCAACCAGTATGCCCCGTACCAACCCCCAGGCGCATCCGGAGCCAACAATCGCACAAGCTCATACAGCAGCGCAAACGGTGGTGCCCCCCAAGAGCTCTCTACCTCGGCTTATGACTCGCCCATTGCCCAACACAGCACCAACCCCCTCTCCAACCCATCCTATAACGCTCCCTCCGCTCCTTCCTACAACCAAGGAGCTCCGGGAGCTCCCACCGACGACCCCTACGCACCAGCCAGCCCCACAGCCCCCGCCCCCGGAGCAGGAAGCAGCAGCAACGTAGGATCTGCTCCCCTTCCTCCCTCCGGTCCCGCTCCTTCAGCTCCCTCAGCTCCTTCAGCACCCAGTGCTCCCGACGGTTACGCACAGGGCGGATACCACACCCAGAATCCTTACCACCAAGCTGCTGCTGCTGCCGCTGCGGCTGCTGCTTCTTCACGGACGCATACGGGATATGATGGTGCTGGTAGCGAGGTGTCATCGACGGCACCGCCGCCTGCGGCTTTGCAACCCGGTGGTGGGGCACAGCATCAGTATAAGGCTTATGTACCGCCTGGGGCGCCGTCAGCGCCGGGTGGTCAAGGTCAGGGAGGAGCAGAGGGACCGAGTGCCCCGGGGCTGCAGGGACAGGGACAGGGGCAGGGGCAGAACGATGGGTTGGCGGATTATTATCGGAGTGCTTATTAGATCTAGTTGGGAGGGTGGGTGAGGGTGTTTGAGAAGATGGGTGGGTGGGTGTGAATGTTGCGTTGGAACGGACAGTTACGTGTGGCTGCTGCTTTTCCCGAGTCATGTATGGGCATGAGCACTTGGGATTTGGGGGAGAGCGTGATACCGGTAATGGCGGGGAAGGAAGGGGGGCGGAATTTCGATGAAATATTTGTTGGTGAGATCTGAAGGGATCGATGGGGCAGATATATGCCAATCCGGGCAGAAGGAGAGATAGATGATGGGCGGGAGGGAGGGAAGGAATGGAATGGAATGCAAGCGCTTATTGATACATACATTTCGTTATGTTATGTGATGTGATGCTTACTTATCCTATGCCGACGCCTATGGATGCCTATAGATTTGAGTTTGGTGGCCCTCTGTCTGGCTGTGATCCATATGTAGTACATTTTACTGGGATTGAATAGCTCATATCACTTCATTCCTGGCTACGCATCGATCGGGATTGATACTGAGCGTCTGACTCTGAAGACAAAACTCGGATAGTTGGTCGCTGTGCTATCTTGATGCGTAGAAATGGTGCGGGAATTGAATGTGTTGAAGAAGATAATGTTGTTGTTGATGTCGAGAGTCTAGAGAGTCTAGAGAGAGTCCTGTCGTCGATGATGACTTCGTCAGACAACAACCGCCCTTCCTTTACAGCTGAGACGAGCTCACGTCCCTCAAACAGAACGTCGAACGGAATGTAAACTGCCCGGGCGCTACTTGGCTATTATGTTCTATTCTAAGCCTATGAAGTAGGTGCGATGTAATGTAATGGGATGGGGATGCCCCAGCCTGTGCCAGGGGCTTCTATTCCCATTACATGTTGAACAATTTTATCCAGTTATTGGAATGGGTTTCTAATTTCCCAGTCTATGGAAACTATGGAAACTATGGAAACTATGTAAACTATGGAAATTATGGAAACTATGGAAACTATGGAAACTATGGAAACTATGGAAATTATGGAAATTATGGAAACTATGGAAACTGTGGAAACGAAACTTGTACATGGCGAGTTTGACTAAAGGAGGGGGTGAGGTCGTTGATGGGTACCTGTGGTCGGTGGTGATCGGTGGAGAGAGTGTGGGCAACTAACTGAATGGGAAGAGGATGAGATATGAGAGATGGGGAGATGGGGGTGTGAATGTGGTTGAGTAGTGGTTTGGAGGGAAGGTTTGTGTTTTGCTTTGTCGTGTCTAGCATAAGTTCCTGTTTGTGGGACACGCCTCTTTTGCTGTTTGGTATTTGTATGGTTGAACAGATGAGTAGTGAGCATAGAGGTTCATGGGTATGTGGTATGGATGGGTGTTTCGTTTTCCGTTTTCTTTCTCGTCTGGTTCTCTTTCCTCTGTTTTTCTTTCCTGTGGTTTCTCTCCCTTTTTTTTTTTTTTTTTTTTTTTTTTTTTTTCTTTTTGTGTTTCTTGTCTGTTTTTGTCTCTTTTTTTTCTCCTCTTTTTCCCTTTCGGTAATTTGGATATGTATCTCTTGTCTTTCGTTCAGCGAGTCACATAATGGACGTTTAATGCTCCTGTTGTTGATCAAGTCTGGAGGAAGATACCACTACTGGTATCTGGAGCTGCGAAGGTGGCCAAGTGCTCTGGGTCATCTAGGTCTGGAAGTTGATCGAATTTGGACAGTCCGGGACTCTATATATGGATTGGAACCAGAAACTTTCTTATTTGCTCAAGGAGATCGCCATCCTCATCTGCTTCTATCTCCAACCCTCGTTCCTGGTGTACTATTTGACAATGATGGTGTGCTTCCCGTCCTTGAATTCGGCACAGGGCAAGGTTGAATTCCCTGGCCTCCGTGTGAGGGACCGTATCTTTTCTTCCTGCTCACCAAATATATAAACCAACCCAATTCGCTCAAATACACCTCGTTGCTCGTCAATTATCTTGAACAATAGCAATGCTATGCCGAAACGTTCGTTTCCAGTGTGTCCAACCATGGAAAAAGCCCGGCTTTCGACATCTTCGTAGTCAACGCTGTCCCCTGAGATATCAAAGAACACAACGGGTGATACTCGATTTGCATTCGTAAGAGTAGCCGCCACCCTCACTCCCTCCAAGTATAAATCAAAGGCCGCCTCATGCTCCATTGAGTTGACAAGCTTGGTCTCCAAAAGAACTCCGCGCAAGCGTAACCAGCCGTCCGTTATCCCACCCGTCTTGTCGGACGTCGCGTAGCTGAGATGCACATCCTCAACTTCGATCTTACAGCCATCTTGAGACCATATTGACGGCCCTACAGCGCCATCAAGGGATGCCCAGGACCAGGTAGGAGCCCGGTACACGCCTGGCCTTGATCCAACACTTGAACTTCTGCGCCAAAGTAATTGAGCTTCAAGGTTGTTACGCCACATGCCAGCCACGTAGGTATCGTGTAGCATGGATTGGAATCTTTTTGCTATTCCCGAGCAGGCAACGAGTTTATCTTCAGGCCGAGAAAGGCTGCATCGTGCGTAACTGAAAATAATCCGGTTCCATAAGAGCTGCGCGACTGGCAGTCTGGAAGTATCAAAATAACCCCGTTGATCACCCTGATCCAGTCCAAGAGCGAAGGATTTAAATCGCACATATTCAGAGGCCGCAAGTTCCGGATGAAGTCCGTGAGGAAATACTTCCGACGCGTCCTTTTCACAGCACTCCCACATTACCTGACGCTTTCCGAAATGCAGGATTCGAGGGGCTAGGATGCGTTCTTGGAGGACCCAGGCACGGTTGTTCACCAATGCGTCGGTAACTTGGTTGAACCAAAAATCACAGTTATACACGTAAAAGTGAACTGGAATCACCACGCCAGTTTCATCGCTGACAAGATCCAGCGCAAGTGTCTCTGGGTTGATCGATTGAGGCTCCCGCACATTGAAAAGCGACCATGAACAGTTTTCGGCGTCTGCTGCGGATATGTTGCAATAAGAGTGTGTGTACACTTTTTCCATTAAAGATGCTTCATGCTCCCAGTCGGTTTTGTCGTCTTTGTCTTGAAATATACAGAATGAATCGATCCACCGGTACCGTACTCCAAGTAAGCGCACTACCGAGATGACATCCTGGAATAACCGGGGCATTGAATACAAGGGCTTTCCCTCAATTAGCAGAGGATACGTTTCTTTGTTTAACACAAACTCCTCGTCAACATGTCCCCAACGGTGAGTAACTGTGAGGTATGGGCCGGCTGGCTTCGTGTCCTTAGTCTCGATGATCCGCACCTCTGTTAAGTCGCCGACACAGCTCAGCTCAGCCTGCTTCTGCCTCTGCCTCTGCAGTCATCACTTGTCATCATCCCCCGCAGCACCTGTCTGCGCCTTCCAGATTCGGCAAAACCAACCAACCAATACCATCGAATCGCGATTCCCCGCCACAACACCACCTCACCATCAAGACCAAAGAATGGCAACCACCACGCAACGACACAGCAGAACACCTACTCTAGAGAAACAAGAAGAAGAAAGACCACCACAAAACGACGAAACTACAACAAAAGAGGAACCAAAAAAAAAGAACAAAAAGAAAACCAGGAAAAAAACTGAAACTCAAAACCCCTTCCACGGCAGGAGGAGGACAGTTTCGAGAAGAAAAAAAAAGTGGGATTGCCCGGAATCGAACCGGGGTCCTCTCGGATCGTTGTGTTTGTCACAAAGGAACTGGAACCACAACGAGAAGTACTGACCACTATACTACAATCCCGCGGAACTTGTTGACATGCTCTCCAAATGCTGCACCTATATTCTGCCTGGCATGTCCCATCAGCACATCCTCTCCCCTCCCCTCTCGCCTTGTACCGTCGCTGTACTTCGCATTTTTGTTGTACATCGCAATGCTGCACCACGGCACGGCACGACTTGGCTGCCCTCAAGAAAAAAAGAAAAGGAAAAAAAAAAAAAAGGAAAAAAAAAAAAAGAAAAAAATACCATGCCTACCTCTAGATTAGGTAGAAAACGTGCTCATGAATGTCATTTGAAGCTGTCACGCAGGGCGTGCTTGCCTAGTCCGCTAAACCACCAAAAGATGGGTGCACGCACTATATAGCCATGCCACTCTGTGACAGAAGCTTCATTGCTTGACGCGATGCGATGTAGGTGATTGCATTGCAACGGCAATGAATGGATGGTTCGCGACCTAAGCTCGAAATATAATGTGAGAGATGAGAGCATCCATTCACACCGAAATCCTCACCTATCAGACACCCATCCATCCATCTATCTATCCACCGCGCTCTCACATGATTTCATCATCTCTAGGAGTTTCTTCAACAAAACAAAACAGTACGTACGGCAATGTATCCAGGTATCTTATTTCTTTTCTCTCGAAGAGCAACATCAACAGTAATACCAATGAGCTCTAGAGGCCTTTAGTCAATATCTTGCGAATGTCGACAGAACACCACCATCGCCGCCGCCAACAGCCTTTCTTTCCTCCCCTGCCTGCTTGCTGCCCCGTTCCAACCTCTTGTCACCAAAAACACCGGTGAACTTCTCAGGTATGTATAGTATATATATGTAGAATGTAAACCGCCTCCCTCCCCTCTCTCTCTTTCACGTCCCCTCCTCATTCTTATAGTCCTCGTCAATGATGAGGGATATCTATACTTCGTCATCATTTTACTTTTTCCCCGACCCCATCCCCATTCCCAAATTACACACTACACTACCTTAATCCCTTTGTTCCCTTTACTCCCTTCGTACAGTCCAGTCGGTCAATCGTCCGCCTGCTACACATCAAGCATACTTCCCTTCGGCTCCGGTTTTGTTTTCCTTTGCCCATGCCCATCTACCGTAGCAGTTTTCTGCTGTTCCCGCTGCTGCTCCCGGTGCTCCCGCTGGTTATGTTTCTGTTGTTCCTGCCCCGTATGCCCCATCCCCTTCCTCCCGAACCAGCCACCCCTCTCCCACTGGCCGGGCACATACAGCGCGTCATTCCTGACTTTATCATCCGTGATGCCCTGCAGCAGGGTTTCGAGGCGCTTGAAATCAATGGGCTTGAGGATCCAGCCGTCGAAGCCGGCGTCTACGTACGTGTCCTTTTCGTGTTCGACCAGGGAGGCCGAGACGGCGAAGATCGGGACGCGGCCGTTGTCGGAGGCGATGTCGGATAGCTGTTGGCCGCCGTGCCGGTTGGATTTCTCGAAGGCGCGGATCATCTTGGTACTAGTAAGGCCGTCGACGATTGGCATCTAAGGAGGAGTTAGTTAGTATTGGTGGTGATGGAGAGAAAAGGGGGAGGGAGGGGAAACATATACCTGCATATCCATCAAGACCACGTCAAACACCATGGGCTTGTCTTCATACACTGCTGCGCAATCCTCGCCGTTCAAGGCGTGGGTGACTTTGTACCCAGCCTTCTCGAGTCTCTTGCGCAGCACTTTGACGTTGATGGGGTCGTCTTCGGCAACCAGGACTTGCAGCTTGTTTGTTGAAGCTTCTTTGACGGGCGCGGGCGCGGGCGTGACTGGCGCGGGTGGTTGTAATGGCGCAGGCTGTTTTTCCTTGACCGCAGGTGGTGCTGCTTTCGCCTTCTTATCCGCAACATCATCCTTGATTTCAAAGAGCACCCTTGACGTGCTCTGCGGCGGAACCACGGGCTTGTCAAACATTTCGTCCGGCAGCTTCACCGGCTTGATGGGAACCCTACTGTCAGTCACATACTGTACTCCTGCTGCTGCTGGTGGCTCAGAAGGCCCTGGAACTTCCGTCGTTGGTTTCTGGCGAGGCAAAACCTTCTTAGTGTTTGGCGACGAGACCGACCGCGCAGGAGCATCTGGCCGCTTTCGGCTCCCTGGACTGATCGACCGCCCCTTAGAGGGTCCGAGGAGACTGGAAGCTGGGCTGTAGTAGGGACCCCGTGAGCCCCTCCTTTGCCGAGCGACGCTTTCTGGCTCGGGCTCGCCTAGTGTGAGAGGGTTTTGAATGGCGCCAATGAGCCTGTTCGCATCGCTGAGCGCACTTCGTCCGCTGCCTTTGCTTTCGATGCTCTGACTGTCATCATAGCTCTTCTTGGACGCCAGCGAGCCAGTCGCGTTATTGACAGACCATGAGCTGCCGTTGTTGCGGTCGACCAGCATCACTTCGCCGTCCTGCATCTGGGTCGCGGAGGCAGCGGAAACCGAGGCGTTACTAGATCCGATAGACGGCTGTGCGGCGTGGCCACTGCTTGCTCCCACAGCATCTCGGCTTGTTTCCTCCTCGGGAAGGTCGAAGGGCAATTGGATCACGAATCTGGATCCCTTTCCAACCTCGGACTTCAGCCGGAGCTGCCCATCCATGTTTCGCAAAATTCTTGCGACAAGTGCAAGACCCAGGCCGAGCGTTTTACCGCTTTGCGACTTGTCAGCGCCGTGTTCGTCAGATGATTCGAATCCAAGATCCGTGTCGACTTGTTCAAGCTCTCTGAAAAGCGCATCCAGCTGGGCGTTGCTCATGCCCTTGCCAGAGTCCTGGACCACAATATCGATGCGAACTCGGTTATCCTGTACTTCCGCCACGTACAGCTCAACCTTGACAGACCCTTCAGACGTATGCTTGACGGCGTTTGCTGTAATGTTGGCGACCGCCTGTCGGACTCGTCTCTGGTCTCCGGATACGAGGCGAGGGAGCCCGGGGTGCTCAATGACCTCGTATGTGATGCCCTTCCGCTTTGCATCGTGCCTGAAAGGCTCTGTAGCTTCACGTATACACGCAAGCAGATCGAAAACCTCGTCCTTGATTAGATCCTTCCCTTCTTCTGTCTTGGTCAGATCGAGCAAATCGTTAATAACGTATATCAAGGACTTTGAGGCTGAATGCGATCTCGCAAGATTGTCCCTGGTCTCCTGGTCGATGGAACCTTCGAGTGCAATTTCCAGGTAGTTGATTATGGCGTTGAGCGGCGTGCGCACTTCGTGTGCCGAATTTGCGAGTAATAGTCGGGTGAGACGGCTGCTCTGCAGGGCTGCTTCCTTTTGCCTCCAAACCTCAATAAACTTTCCGTACACTAAGCAAAGCACTGCCGCAGTTTCGACTTGCTCCTCCGACCATTCGCGAGATTTGCCAATAACCGTCTCGTACCAGACCTTGAAACTCTTTCTGGGCTCGAGGTACGCGGTGGAACCAGCTTGGATGTTCTTTTCGTGTGGGTTGCCCGCCCACTTCACTTCCCTGACTTGACCCTTGCGGAAGAAGACGATAAAGTCGTTCCCACCGACGCTCAAGGGCACATACAGAAGACCGGCGATGACTTGGAATCCTGGTGGGTAACGAAGATCGGGGAAGTCGATCTTGATGTCCTGCGAGGTGACCACGGATGAGAACTTGCGCAGCCGCAGATACTCTAGCATAGCTAGCGCCTCCTGCGACTGCTCAATCTTGCCCATGATTTTGGTCTCCTCGCGTATCGAAAGCATTCCGAAATCGGCATCGAACAGTTTGAGCAAGTCATCCGAGGAGGCTATTATATAGCCCGACGGGTTCTTGTCGGTGGGCACCGTGTTGATAAGCTTGCGGCCTTGGAGGCGAGAAGCATACGATAAACGCTCTATGTTTCTTGAGACGGTGTCACCAACAAGCCGGCACATTTTTCGTATGGGAAACGAGACTCTCATCCCCTTGGGCCCGTAGGAATGGCACGCAATCAGACCCCAAAGATCGCCAAAGGCGTTGATCGAGATGGACATGGAAGAGCGCACTGCCATGTTAGCAAGATACTTCAAGTGGATTGGCGACATTGCGCGAAGGTAAGAGTGCGTCATGTCCAACGGGGTCTCCAAATCTTGGGGCGTTCGGCAAACGATTCTCGCGCTCTCGACATCTCGATCGTACAGTAATCGTACCTTGTTGAGCTTGTAGAGCTCGCGTGCCTGTCTGGGAATGTCTGCGGCCGGGAAGTGCAGTCCCTTGTACAGGTCCCTCGTTTGCATCGGATCAATCAGCTCAGTGACGACCTTGCCGTTAAACGACGAGTCAAACTGGTAAATCATGACCCGGTGGAAGCCCGTCAACTCCTTGACAATGCCGACCAAGATCTTTAGAAACTTTTCCAGATTGGGAGCGTTTGCCAACTGCTCCTGTACTTGGCTCATTATATCAAACACTTGCATTGCTCCTGCCTCGCCTCTTCGCCTGCGCGCACTGCGCAAGACTCGTAGTGGCTTGCTCAAAATCTCTGTACTTTCGGTGAGCTCTTCCGTTGTAGGATTCGACTGTAGGGTGTCTTCGGGTGTGTCTGGATAATCCTCCTCGGGAGGTCGCAATGGGTAATCGTGGTCGTCGTCGAGTTCAAACTCGCAGATAGTCAGTTCCGGGCGTGATGGGTGTACATGGATTGCGCACCATAGCTTGACGAAATTTTTGGCTTTGGGGAGTCGAATGGAGAGACTGAAAACCTCGGGGCCGTTGACAGCCGGATCCGAGTCCTCATCCCTAATGAAATCGACATGATCCAGCAGATTCTCGGCCTGTTCATCCGTGAAGATGTCGAGGAAGTTGTTCATTCGGAAGAGCTCCTGTGGTGTGTAGCCGATAATTCTTTTGGAGTTCTCGCTCACGAATCGCACAATGAAGCGGCCGTCTTGTTCTTCCTGGATGACCACCATTAATCCGAAGCCCTGTACAGCGCCCGGCGTATCTGTCCCATGATTAGCATTGATTACGAGATTTCCAAGATGGGAAAGGGAACTAACGGATTGGTTCATCTTCGCACCGCTGTAGCTGCCCATCTCGACCGGTAAGCACAGCATGGCCCTCCTCGGTCACGACATGCTTGAAGCGAGCT